TGTGTGGATTAACCAGCAGATTTCCCCCGTGTGATAACGTCCTATGGGGAAAGGACTGGATGCTCATCACAGGTTCAGTGTACATAAATTACTTTAAAAAGAAATATATCAAGCACAGTACCTGGTCTAGCATATCAGTTTCCATCACATTGTTTCCATCACAAACATCTGAATCACAAAGCTCTGTATTTGCCTTTTGTTCTGAAGCTAGTGATCAAAACCATCAAAAAAGGAGATAAGTCATACAAAACATTATATATATCTTATGTAATCATTCTGGATTCAACTCTTGGCTTTCACCTTTTACCTATCTTTCTCCCTCAAAACCAAAGTTAAATTTTTAAGTGAAACTCAGATTTGTGGAACACCATTATTTCCTTTATTTTCTTTACATAATTTATATCCTGCCTTTCTCCCAGCCCAAAGCATTTTACAACAGATTAGAACAACATACAGCTAAAATCTTACTATGCAGACGTTTTAGAAACAATTCTATTAAAAGCACAAAGTTAAAACAGTTTAAAACATGTATATTTCATTCATTTTTATAATCAACAGTAGTTTGCAATTGTAGCCAGCATAGGAACCAATACTGATTGTGGCTGGAACTCACCATTGCAGTTACAAATTTGTAACCTAGTTACAGATCTGTAATTGATTGATATTCACAAAGCATATGTGTTCACAATCATGGTGCTATTACTACGATCATAAAAGTTCCCCAGTCCTGCTTTACCAGGCATCAGCAGCTGTTAGCAGCAGAGGTTTGTTCTCCTATATGACTGGGGCACAGCAGACTGATATGTCCAACCTACTCCTGCCAGTGATCTTTGGTGTGAGGAGGAACTGTGATAGGGACCCTGCTTCTGATTGTTGCATCTGAGTTCACTGGTGAGAGATGGGTGGAAAAATCAGTCTGCTGCACCTTGATCAAAAGGAGAACAGATTTCCATCAAAGCAGGACTGGGGAGTCTGAGCCAGGAGAAATTACTTAGGAGTTTATCACACAGGGAGTCCTGTGCAGAAACCCTGCTTTAAGTAGAAAAAAAACCTCAAAAGCGGAAGCAATTTATTAACGGGATTCCCCAGTGTGAAAAGTGAAAGCGATGTTAAAATGGGGTTAATCCGAACGGAAACTGCTTCTTTTTACTTTCGGAAAAACCAGAAAGTAATAGGAAGCAGTCAATGAGGGGTTTCCATTTGCATTAACCCCAGCTTAACCTCCTTTTAACAGCGACGTCATCTGAAAAAACATCCGGTTTTGCCTTTTTTTCTACTTTAACCCCCCGTTTCCGCACGGGATTTCCCCCGTGTGATAAACTCCTTAGTTAAGTATAACCAAGTATACTTAAAATACAGAAAACAGTGATATCTTTATTGGCCAACCAAAATGCACAAAACATCTTGCAACATGTATTTTGTGCATTTTGTTTGGCCAATAAAAGTATCACTGTTTTGTGGATTCTGGATGTTGTACTTTGCTACATGGCCAACATGGCTACCCAGGATATGTGTTCTAAGTATACTTAAGTATAAGTTAAGCATACTTAATAAGTAGCTGATCTAAAATCTCGAACATTATAACTGTACAGTTCACACA